GGGGGGGCCCTACTTCCTTAATCCTCCTAGAAGCTGCTTAGTTACTCTTCTGTATCCTTCCTTTGTGGACAGTGGTTTTTTCTGACTGTCCTCACTCTTCATGATCGATCACTTTATTTTACATTCAACAGCTTAGGTCCAGCTGAGTGATTACACCTCTCAGTTTCGAGCCCTGTTTGGTCTACTTTATTCTCCACCACCCCGGAGTTTTCCAGTTACTGGCTCCCGGCCATCTTCTGGATGGCTAAGTTGGGGAAAAGTCTGACCCTGGTCTTTGGTATACACAGCCCACCCTCATTATTCACAGATTCCGTATTGGCAAATTCGCCTACTCGCGAACGTTGATTCGTAACTCCCAGGTCAAGAGTTGCAGGGCTTGCTTAGCTCAAAAAATTCTCGTCGGCAACGTGCACGGCCCCAGCGGAGGTGGAGCAGGGCGACAGATGCTCTGCCTTCTTGATCCAGCTCTCCTACCGAAAACAAGTGTCCTTTCCACGGTCTATTTAATGCCAGTGTTTTTCATGCTCTTGTGAAGTGTTGGTGACTTCGCGGTGTAAAATGGGTCCAAGCACAGTGCTGAAGGACCATCAGGTATTCCTAAGTGCAAGAAGGCTGGGTGAGGCCTTAGGAGGAATATGCGTGTGCCAGACAAGTTTCCTCCAGGCATCAGTTATAGTGCTGTTGACCATGAGTTCAATATTAACGACAAGGGGTCATGAAACAGAAACACGCATAAAACGAGGTCACGTATTCCCCTACGGATGACTGTTCAGTATCTGCTAATTCAGTGTTGTAAAGCAATGGTCTTATAGGCTATAAGTACCTCAAATAACAAAAATCAAGTGTATTTATATATGAGATAGAGTAGGATTTATGTAGCCACGTGATTGCTAGCCTTCCGATTGGACACCTTTCTTAGATAACTCAAACGTCAGAACTGCCGTCTGGGATTGCCTTCAGAACAAGGTTCAATGTGGCAGAACTTTGCCTTTGATTTTTAAAAAAATACAATTATTCATTCCTACTGTTTTTATAAAATCTTCAACCTTTAAAAAAAATCCTTGCCAGGGCGCCTGAGTGTTTCAGTCAGTTTGGTGTCCGACTTCGGCTCAGGTCATGATCTCACGGTTAGTGAGTTCGAGCCCCACATCGGGCTCTCCACTGTCAGCACAGAGCCGGCTTCAGATCCTCTGTCGCCCAATCTCTCTGTCCCTCCCCCACTTGTTCTCTCTTTCTCTCTCTCAAATAAATAAATAAATACTTTAAAAAATCCTTGCCATCTCCCTGCTCATTATGAAGCTCACAACAGCTAGCAGTGATGCCAAGGAAGTCTTTCACTCTGGGCTGCACGGAAGGTGGCACAGCCAGCTCGTGACGGGGACAGGACAAGGCCCCGCTCCGGCTTCTGGTCTGGAGTCTCTTCTCCAGGTTCAAGGGGCTCCTCATGAACCTTGAATCCAGGGCTCCGAATGGAGGAGGAACTGCTCACCACTTCTCCTTCTACACTTTGTTACAAGGTTATTGCTATATATATATTATATATAATACTGGGGTGGCCTTGAATACTATGGTAGAGGAAGCACAGGGAGTGTTCAAAACACGGTGGAGGGGGGGAGGGAAAGGCCAATAAAACAAGCATGTGACACACCCAAGAGGCCAGGAGGGCTTCCAAGTGGGAGGTAACTCCTGAAGAAAGAGCAGGAACCAACCAAATGAAAATAAGCCTCGGGCATCAGGGACAGAAGTGCCAAGGCTCAGCGGGTGTGTGGAGACAGTCAGCCTGGCCAGCATGTAGGGTAGGAGGTCAGGTGCAAAGGCTGAAGTAAGCTGTACCTTGCTAAGGAGTCTGGATTTCCTCCTAAAGGCAGAGGGGAGCTACTGCAGGTTTGTTGGGGGCAGGCGATACTGGTCAGATTTACATTTCAGAGAAATCCTTCTACTGGTCTGCGTTGGATGGACTGGAGAAACCCGTGATGAAATGAGGGTGGTTGCAATCTTGCCAGGGAGCCTGGCTGCAGGGGATGGGGTAGGAGGGGCTGAGACCAGAGTCAACAGCACGAGTGTATGACCTGAGCATTGCACACAGCCCCACACTCAGAAGGGCCCCCGCGCTTGGTTTAACGCTCTGCTCTCACCATCTTGAAGTTCTTCATAATTTAAATCCTGAACTCCTGTTTTGTAAGTGAAGCCCGCCAGGACGATGGGGCATGTGCGTGGGCACAGGAGGCACCCGTAGTATGAGTCACTGCTGTTCCTTGTCACCCCATTTCCATGATGCATTCCAGATGCCCTGAGCATAGAATTCTGGCCGACCCACAAGGGCAATGCGTCCTGGAAAACTCAAAGGGAGCACGAGAAAGGTGGGTTCTGTCCAGGACCGAGGAAACAGAGATGCTGACAGCGAGCCCCGGGCAGCCAGAGCTTCCGTTAGGATCAGAATTGGTTTGGGGAGGAGCGAGGCCATAGCAGTGTGAGAAAGAGGGACGATCAAGGAGCCCCATCACATCCTTCCTTACCAGTGTCTCTTCGGGATGAGCCGCCACTTGTCCAAAAACGAGGACACAGAAGGAACAGGAAAGAAGGGGGAGCTTTCGGTCCCTCCTCACACGTCAGGAAGCCAAAGGCAGAGAGCGGTGACAGAGTGTGTGGTGCACGCGGGAAACAGGCGTTGTGCCACTTCTGTAATTCCTTATACGTGTTAGATGCCCTCATAGTCGCACTGAAAACTGGCATCGCCCAACGTGAAGAGGAACAGTGAAATCCATGCTAGTAATTCACAAAGCTCATTTGCTCATCGTCTTTGCTCAGAATGACACGGAGAGCAAATACAAACACCATACCAGGTTGGGAGAGAGGCCACGGAAGGAAAGGGAAATCTTTGTATTTTACTACCTTTAACAGCACGTTGCCCCTGATTTCTGAACAAGGGGCTCCCATTTGCACCTTGCACCAGGCCCTGCAAATTATGCAGCTGGTCCAGACTCAAATTACAGAGATTGTCCCCAGGATCAGTGGGGACAGGGGACAGGGGCGGGTGGGGGGGTGGGAGAAGAACGTGGCAGGAGGGACAAGGGAAGATACAGCCATGACTCCAGGTTTTGAACCGGTGGCACGTCCACTTGAGAAGTCCGGCATCCCACTGAGCGCCCCAGGTCAGAAGCTCCAAGAGAGGCCCTGGAGGAGGACCAGCAAGTGGTGGCTGAGGTCGGGGGTGGCTGGGGGCAGGACTGTGGGCAGGTCTGCAGAGATGTAGACGGTCCAGAGACAGGGCAACAAAGAAGGTCCCAGAAGGGAGCCTAGAGGGAGGGCCACAGGAGCAAGGGAAGGGCGTGGGGTGGCTGTGGAGGAGAGGCGGGAAATAAGATGGCTGGCAGAGGCGGATGTGAGAGAGTTGACCAAAGTGAGGTGTGGTTAGCTCGAGTGGCCTTGAACCAAGTGCCCAGTCTCCCCGTGCCTCCGACGGTCATCTATCTGTAAGATGAGGGTACTGATAACACCGTTTGCCGCAAGGGGTTGCTGTGGCCTTCCACAGTTCTCAAGGCCGGAAGGCACAGACCAAGGTGTCCACAGGACCATGCTCCCTCCGAAGTCTCTAGGAAGGCTCTGTTCCAGGCCTCTCTCCCAGCTTCCGGCAGCTCCTTGGCTTGGGGCAACGTCACCGTGACCTTCACATGGCAATCTCCCCGTGCGTGCCTCTGCGCCCAAATTTCCTCTTTTCAGAGACACCAGTCATCCTGGGCCGGGGGCCACCCAGATAACCTCGTCTTAACTTGATTACTGCCATAAAGACGCTCTCTACGAGGGAGGTCCCATTCTGACGTAGCAGGGGTTAGGACTCCAGCCTATAGTTCTGGCATTGGGGGCAGTGGGACGCGATTCAACCCATAACTGCTCCGCCCAGAGTCAAGCTGCTATATAAACATTCTTCTTCACCTTGACTCCCTCCATTTATTCTTGTTTTCTTCAAAGGTATGAGGAAGAGGCCAGCAAGAGCTTGAGTTTGGGGAACCCAAACGTGTTGTGGTCACAATCTCCATGGCAACGTGACGCTCCTCCAGCCGCGCTCAGCTGCCCAGGTGAAGGTAAATACGTGGAGGGAGGAGAGGGAACAAAGAAAAGGGAATGGCACGTTCTGATAAGAAGCCAAAGCCAACCACGGGCAGAAATCCCGACAGCGAGGCAGAGAGGGAAGGCGGCTCGCTGCCCCGTCTCCCCGCGGCTGCCCCGGAGCCCACGGGGGAACTGGGATACAGGCGGACAGAAATCTGACGGCAACCCCTTCTCGACCTCAGCCAACACACTGTTCCCTACACGCGCGCAGAAGGAAAAGCAAGTTTGGATGATCTGTGAAGACGACAGATTTCACCTGTGGAGCAGAAAGGCCTTCTGAGCCCGTGGCAAAGTGGAGGCCTTCGAGGAACTGAACTTCTGATGTTCTTTGAAGTGGTGAGAATCGCACCTGATCCGGAGATAAGCAACAGGTGGGAAACTGGGTGAGTTACCGGAAGGGTCAGGCCGGGCATCGCCTTAACTGAAAGTATTTCTGGGGCTAATTTGGAAGGCATCAACCCCCAAGGAAAAAAACAGACGGAGCTGGGAGGGGGGTCAGAGCCTAGACAGCGAGAGGCGCTCCGATGGGGTCTTATCTGCACCTCTCTCCTTAATCCACAGCCCCTCCCGCGCTCATGCTCTCCTCTCTTCATCCCAACACCAGGAGTAACACTGATGGTGCCTTCTCTGGAGCAGTTCCCCTTGCCAAAGCTCCAGGTCCCAGAACCTTTCCCTCCCCACTCTCTCCCGCTCTAAGGCCTGCTTATCCTGAGTAGAAGACCCTCCCAGCTTTGCTAGACACATTACCAACTAAAAGGCTCAATGCATCTATGTGAGCATGGTGGGCAAGGGCACCTGCAATCTAAGAGGCCCGCACCCACCTTCACCGAACATCAAAGCTCACTTCGGAACCGCGAGTGACGGAACACCACATTCCTCCCCATGTGACGCACAGAGAACGCAAGGTCGCTGCTGTGGCGGTCCTGCCCAAATGCATGGGGATATAATCACGACACACGAGACGGATCCAAACTCAGGGACATCCTCTAACATAACCGTCCTGTAATCTTCACAGACGCCAGCGTCATGAAAGATAAAGGCTGGGGGACTGTCCCAGGCCACAAGGACACTAAAGAGACGCGAAACCTGAAAAATCCCAGTGAGTAGGGGTTTTCTTTTGCTCTAGATTATGGGGACAACTAGTGAAATCTGAATGAGGGCTGTAGATTAGAAAACAGTACCACGGCAGGTTAATTCTGATCATTGTTCTTGGTTCTGTGAGTCCCCGTTCTTGAGAACATGCAGAAGCATTTAGGAGTAAAGACATCTTGCCCGTGACTTGGAAAAGAATGAAGCAAATGTGATACAATGGTAACACTTGGGGAATCTGAGCAAAAGGTATAAAGGAAGTCTCTGTATTACTCTTGCAAATTTTCTGAGTCTGGAAAAATAATAGTAATTTTTTAACATTTAATAAACATACAGATGAATGGCACAAAAACAGACACTCGGATCAATGGAACAGAATAGGGAACCCAGAAATGGACCCACAAACGTATGGCCAACTAATCTTTGACAAAGCAGGAAAGAATATCCAATGGAATAAAGACAGTCTCTTCAGCAAGTGGTGCTGGGAAAACTGGACAGCGACATGCAGAAGAATGAACCTGGACCACTTTCCTACCCCATACACAAAAATAAACTCAAAATGGATGAAAGACCTAAATGTAAGACACGAAGCCATCAAAATCCTCAGGAGAAAGCAGGCAAGAGCCTCTTGGACCTTGGCCCCAGCAACTTCTTACTCAACATGTCTCCAGAGGCAAGGGAAGCAAAAGCAAAAATGAACAATTGGGACCTCATCAAAATAAAAAGCTTCTGGGGGCACCTGGGTGGCTCAGTTGGTTAAGCGACCGACTTCAGCTCAGGTCATGATATCGCAGTTTGTAAGTTTGAGCCCCGTGTCCGGCTCTGTGCTGACAGCTCAGAGCCTGGAACCTGCTTCAGATTCTGTGTCTCCCTCTCTCTCTGCCCCTCCCCTGCTCACACTCTGTGTCTCTCTGTTTCTCAATAATAAATAAATGTTAAAATGTTTTTTTCAATAAAATTAAAAAAAAACAAAAACAATCAGCAAAACTAAAAGGCAACCGATGGAATGAGAGAAGATATTTGCAAACAACATGTCAGATAAAGGGTTAGTATCCAAAATCTATAAAGAACTTACCAAACTCAACACCCAAAAAACAAATAATCCAGTGAAGAAATGGGCAAAAGACATGAATAGACACTTCTCCAAAGAAGACATCCAGCTGGCTAACAGACACATGAAAAAATGCTCAACATCACTCATCATCAGGGAAATACAAATCAAAACCACACTGAGATACCACCTCATGCCTGTCAGAATGGCTAACATGAACAACTCGGGCAACAACAGATGTTGGCGAGGATGCGGAGAAAGAGGATCTCTTTTGCATTGTTGGTGGCAATGCAAGCTGGTGCAGCCGCTCTGGAAAACAGTATGGAGGTTCCTCAAAAAACTAAAAATAGAACTACCCTACGACCCAGCAATTGCACCACTAGGCATTTATCCACGGGATACCAGTGTGCTGTTTCGAAGGGACACATGTACCCCCATGTTTATAGCAGCACTATCGACAATAGCCAAAGTATGGAAAGCGCCCAACGATCTGGCTGCGACATCTGTCACCCCATTGATCGCCAGGGTTGATTCGGCTGATCTGGCTGGCTAGGCGGGTGTCCCCTTCCTCGCTCACCGCTCCATGTGTGTCCCTCCCGAAGCTGCGCGCTCAGTCGAAGGGGACGACCTTCCCCGATAGAGGAGGACCATTCTTCGGTCAAGGGTATACAAGTAGCTGTGCTCCCCTGCTAGAACCTCCAAACAAGCTCTCAAGGAAAGCGCCCAAATGTCCATGGATGGATGAATGGATAAAAAAGATGTGATATATATATATATATATATATATACACACACACACACACACACACACACACACACACACACACACACAATGGAGTATTACTCGGCAATCCAAAAGGATGAAATCTTGCCATTTGCAACTACGTGGATGGAACTGGAGGGGATTGTGCTAAGTGAAATTAGTCAGAGAAAGACAAATATCATATGACTTCACTCATATGAGGACTTTTAAGAGACCAAACAGATGAACGTAAGGGAAGGGAAGCAAAAATAATATAAAAACAAGGAGGGGAACGAAACAGAAGAGACTCTTAAATGCAGAGAACAAACTGAGGGTTGCTGGGGGGGGGGGTTGTATGTGGGGGAGGGATGGGATAAATGGGCAAGGAGCATTAAGAAAGACACGTGCTGGGATGAGCACTGGGTGTTATAACCTAGGGATGAATCACGGGAATCTACTCCTGAAATCATTATTGCACTGTATGCTAACTAATTTGGATGTAAATAAATAAATGAAATGAAATGAAATGAAATGAAATGAAATGAAATGAAAAACTCATTTCCTCATGGTATAGTGTTTTTTTTTAAAACCTTTTGGGGGCCACGGACACCTATCTGGCACTGTGTTGATGTTTACGAACCCTTCTCACAACAACGTTTTTAATGCACAAATAAAATACATGAGGCTAAAACAAAAAGAAAAATAAAAAATAAACATACAGATGGATGACAAGCGTGCAGTGCTTTCCAGTAGGGTCCCAACTTTGGCTGCACCACAGAGTCACCTCAGGGGATTTAAAAACGTCAATGCCCAGGCCTCAGCCCAGAGATACAGATTCACTCAGCCTGGGGTGAAGCTTCAGACATCACTACATTGGAAAAGCAGCCCCCCACCCCCGCCCCGAGGTGATTCTAGCATAAAACCCAGAGGAATGACAAACAGCCTGGGGTATTGTGAAGTGAGGGGGGAGCTCTGAGCTGGGGATCTTTCTGAACCCCTCAGCTCTGCTTCCTGTGAGAGCTGATCCTGGGAGCAACACAGTGACTCAACCCAGGTGCCGAGTCCCGGGTCCAGTCTTGGTCCCGCCACCATTAAGCTGGGAAATGTCCTGGTCGGTCCCTTCCCTGTGCCCAGCCTGGGTTCTCTCCCCCGTGGATGAGACCAAACGAGGGCAGCCTCAAGGCACAATGATTCACCAGCACTTGCTTCTGGGGGCCCCAGGGCTCCAGGGTGGGTTGACACAGGATGACAGCCTCAAAGCCTTGTGACATCCAGGTGGCAGAAAAAGAACCAGGTGAGTCGGGCTGGCCGACTTCTGGTATTGCTGGCAGGTCCTGTCACAGTCTGGGTGACTCCCTAGAGGCCCCTCCCTTCCCAAGGACTGAAGTCTGGGGAAGTTCTTGGAAAAGGTGCTAGAGGAGGAAGGGGACACGAGTCCTTCTCCAAGCAACAGAGAGGCAAGCTGGGGAGGCCAAGCTCCCGAGGGGCAGCTGGGCACCTGCCACTGGCCCTTTCACGAGGCAGGCCTGACAGAGGCTCTGTGGGAAGAAGGTGCTAAGAAAGGTGCTCCGTCCCGATCCCAGAACTCCACTTCTGCCCTGCTCTAGACTCCCCTTCTAGAACAGCACTGCTCAGGGGGTGCCTGGGTGGCTCAGCTGGTTGAGTGTCCGACTTCGGCTGACAGCTCAGAGCCTGGAGCCTGCTTTCAGATTCTGTCTGTCTCTCTCTCTGTCTACCCCTCCCCCATTCTCACATTTTCTCTCTCTCTCTCAAAAATAAATTAATATTAAAAAACAAAATTAAAACTGCACTGTCTCAGGTTGGTGGCCCCGGCCATGCATGACTATCGGGCCCTTGAGACGCGGCCGGTCAGACTTGAGATGTGATGTGGTAAATACACACCAGATTCCCAAGTCTTTGTGAGCCGAAAAGAAACGTAAACATCTCATTAGTAATTTTTAACGTATTCATGTCGAAATAAGGACACTTTGGGTGAAACAAAATTTAACTATGGAAATTCATTTCACCTCTTGCTTTCACTTTTGCCAACGGGGCTACCAGACTAGCTGGCATTACATCACATTTGTCCTGCACGGCTCTGTTCTAACGTGTGCATATTGTCCTGTGCACCACACTGCCCTGGTAGAATTGTATTACAGTCCAATGGAGAAAGGGTTTCGTATGCAAAGGCATCAGTCCTGGACCCCTAAAAGCCCGTCAGTGAGAAGTGCTTACCACTTCCCCCTGTGGTTTGAAGACTTCTGTGATCCCGGCAAAGCCACTCCTCCCCACAGCCCACGGAAGGGCCGATACTGTCAGGGAATGTCCATTCCTCGCAGCTTTCTTGAATAACAAAACGGTAATTACGTTAATTTACAACCTAACCCTCAGCACCGTGATTTTAACCCCATCTGTGCAGCTGAACCACACACATCTGACCTTCGTAAAGTAAAGCTTTCAATGAATATACCGGACCTTGTATACGCCACCTAATGCTTTACCTTCCCACAGAAAGAGAAGACGTGGGTAATGCAAATAAACGGTGCAGAGTAGACTCAAGTCTACATTCCAGAAGGTTCCACAGGATTCCCCGGAAATCTTTGGTTTGGGTTTGGTTTGCATGTGACTGTCTGACTGCCTTCTAAGGAGAAGAGTCCCTTTGCTTTTGTGCGTGTGTGTGTTTTAGCTACATAGACAGGAGTAATTAATTAAGACGTGCCCTCTGGTCGGGCCTTCTTCACATTAACTGATCTGGGACCACGGAGAGCTGAGACGGGTTTATGTGTGTTCTGTTTCCAGACACTGATCTTCTCCATGGTCTGATTTTATCTTGGACCCAACCTGGTATAATCCATGCTGTGTGTAGAGTCTCCACGTTAAGTTTCCCATTATGGAAACAAACAAACAAACAAACAAACAAACTTAAATTCAGGGACTGTCTAGGTCTTTAAGGGACTTTTCCAGAAACCAGCAAGAAAGAAACAGAGGCTGTTCTGCTGAGGTCTGGTGATTCCGGATGTAGGACCCAAGTGACTGGTTTGGGTACAAAGCTACTTCCATAACACGGATCAGTGCTTGGCAACCACCTACTACAACTTATTCATAGTTCAGTTGAACCCAGGGGTTGAATATGATGCTTCGATTCTTTCTTTCTTTCTTTCTTTCTTTCTTTCTTTCTTTCTTTCTTTCTTTCTTTCTTTTTCTTTCTTTTTCTCTTTCTTTCTTTCTTTCTTTCTTTCTTTCTTTCTTTCTTTCATGTAGTACCTGATCTCTATGCCCAAGAGAAGGCAGAGACACAGAGGACAAAATGGGTATCCATTAAAATAAACATATATGTGATAAAGAAAAATCACTGTTCACTGTTTAATGTTCTGGAAAGGAAACAACTAGGAAAGAGAATTTTCATAATAAATTTTTCCTGCTTATTTTTATAGCATCAATACTCAGAAGTAAATACCGAATGCATGAGGCATTTGGGAAAATCAATAACGTCCTTAGGCCTGCATTTTCAAAATTGCATTGCAACAAAGAAAGGTATGATCTTGCAAGAGGATCCTCTGAAAAAAATACATATATGCACAAAACACATATATACACAAAATCTTTTGCATATATAGGTATGTACATATATACGTGTATGTATATATAAACACAAGTAGGTTTTTATTTTCATTGCAGGAAACCATTTCATTTTACTTTATTTTTTGTTTACATTTTTGAGAGAGTGAGCATGCGTAAGGGAGGGGAAGCGACAGAGGGAGACAGAGGATCTGAAGCAGGCTCCAGGCTCCGTGCTGTCAGGACAGAGCCCGACCTGGGGCTCGAACTCACAAACCCTGAGATCATGACCTGAGCTGAAGTTGGACGTTCAACCTACTGAGCCACCCAGGTGCCCCTGGAAGCCATGTTCATTTCCAAAACATACTAGTCTTTGCTTAAGAACATGATGCCTTTTTGTAAAACGGGCATCAAGGGAAGGTGCTTTGATTTCTCATATAAACTGATTCTTGAAAACCCAGGTTCTAGCACACCAAATAGGCAGGGACGAGAAAAAAGAGCAAAGCCCTCCTGTTGGACGGCATTCTTACATCACCCACTTTAAAATTAAATCTGAAACAGAGTTCTGACAGGCCTGCTATTTTCTTCAGTGCCAACAGCCACACAATAGACCTTTTTTTTTTTTTTTTTTTTTTTGGACAAAGCTCTTAAAATGCTTGGAGATTCAGATGTACTGAGTCACCAGGGTTCACAAATACTGCGCACCCGTTCTTGCGGGTGCCCCGTCCCTTCCTTTGGAAACGATACTATATTTTCTCTGTGTTTGGCCGAAGGAAAGAAATATTTTCATTGGACTTGCAAGCTGTTTGAAAGAGGGTGACTGGGGAGGGGCAGGTCTGAAAGTGGGTGGCTGTCCTTCGATCTGGTGGCCTCCGAGCAGGGGTGGCAAAGTTACCATTTTAGAGGGACCTGTTGGTTTTCCTTCCACGCGGCGTGCAATGGTGCTCAACCCCACGGCCACATCGGCTTCAAGCGCGCCCTGGTAAGTGCGTAACATTCAGCACCGGGCGTGGTGAACAGTGTCGCTCTGAAAGAACACTCTTCCCGCAATTAGCCCTCTTAGAAACATCTCGAACTTGTCTCTCTGCAGAGTGTATAACACGCAGCACCGAGAGGTGACGCAACGCTTCACAGACACAACCGTGGGTACGATGTGCCAGACGCCGTGTGAATGTGGGTGTGCAGGGGTGGGTGGGGGTGGGGGTCGTAGAGAGCAGGTGCAAGAGGGACCGGGAGGAAAGGAGGAGGAGGCGGGGAGAGATGCTGCCGAGGGAAAGCAGATCTAGGCACAGTTTTTGTGACTTACACTCTCTCTCTTTAAAATGCAAACTAAATTGCACCCCCCTCCCCGTCACAGGACTGCTTCGCCGAGTTGTGAAATAATTGAGAGGTGTTGCAAATGCATCCACGCGCCGCGAGTGAGCAACCGACTTCAAGTCTGAACACGTCTCCCGAGGGATATTTTAGCTTGACGATAATGATGGCGAGTGTGCGCGCTTGAAATCAGGAGGGCAAAAGGGCCCGAGGCAGAGCCAAGTTCCGTGGAGGGAAGGGGTGGGACTGGGAGCCACGGGGCGCGCGAGCGGGTGTAGACGCGGGAGGTAGTGGTTGCATCTCCGTTTCCTGGGCTTTAAAGACACTGCTCTTGGCGGCTGCAGAAGGCAAGCCGGCCTTGAAGAAGGGTGCCAAGGAGCCGTGTCTAGGTCTTCCAGACCCCCACTTTGGTTATTACAAATTTTCCCCACCCTCCTCTGATGCTGAACGTGTAGCAAATAAAACAGGGGCACGCCAACTGGTCTAGCCCAGTGTTCCTCAAGCCCAGGGATGGGGGTCATTCCTTGTGGCGGGGGGTGGGGAGAGGGGACTGTCTGTGCATTGTGGGTGGCTTACCAGCATCCCGGGCTCCCACTCAATAGGTTCCAGGAGGGCGGCTAGTTGTGACAAATAAAATTGCCTCCAGACATTGCCAAATATCCCCGGGGGCGAGGGGATGGTATCTCCCTGGATTGGGAACCACGGGTTCAGTCTAACCATTAGGCCAAGCGAAGTTTTCATCAGTAAGGATAAGTCATCTAGTAGAAGGACCATATGGCATTTTTGGTGAAAGTTGACAACCCCAAATAACATGCCTGGACCAACCAGAGATGAGGACAGAAGTCTGAGACAAAGTGCTTCAAAGCACTGGCTTATGGCTTTAGGGAGCCATAACACCATTTCAAAAGAATTCTGGAGAAAAAAAAAAAATCCTGGGGCTTCTAACAAAAAAAAAAAAAAAAAAAAGGTAAATTAGAAGAGTGGAACCTTTACACTTGAACTCCAGGGATTAGAGAGGCAGAACAGACAAGACCTCAAGACCCACTCAGTGGAATTCTCCACAGCCTGCTGTGACCACTCCCACACAGTGGGTCCCACAGCTCTGGGTCTTCGAGATCCCTTTTCATCCTGAGGCTGTGGACGGGACCATCTTTGCATTCTGCCTAACCTGTGCAAAAAGCATTTGGCATTATTAACTTTGGAAGGCACGTTTAGTGGTTCAGGCCTCAGAGAATGGAGGAAGGTGTTTAAAAATGCTATCCCGGGGCGCCTGGGTGGCGCAGTCAGTTAAGCGTCCGACTTCAGCCAGGTCACGATCTCGCGGTCCGTGAGTTCGAGCCCCGCGTCGGGCTCTGGGCTGATGGCTCAGAGCCTGGAGCCTGTTTCGGATTCTGTGTCTCCCTCTCTCTCTGCCCCTCCCCCGTTCATGCTCTGTCTCTCTCTGTCCCAAAAAAATAAATAAACGTTAAAAAAAAATTTTTTTTTTAAATGTTATCCCTTGGGGCACCTGGGTGGCTCAGTCAGTTAAGCGTCCGACTTCAGCTCAGGTCATGAACTTGAGGTTCATGAGTTCGAGCCCCACATCGGGCTCTGTGCTGATAGCTCAGAGCCCGGAGCCTGCTTCGGATTCTGTGGCTCCCTCTCTCTCTGCCCCTCCTCTGCTCGTGCTTTCTCTCTCTCTGTCAAAACTAAATAAACATTAAAAAAAAGAAGGCTATCCATGGGGCACTTGGGTGGCTTAGCCAGTTCAGCGTCAGACTTCAGCTCAGATCATGATCTCATGGCTTGTGAGTTCGAGTCCCACGTCGAGCTCTGTGCTGACAGCTCTGAGCCTGGAGCCTGCTTCAGATTCTGTGTGTGTGTGTGTGTGTGTGTGTGTGTGTGTGTGTGTTTGTGTGTGTGTGTCTGCCCCTCCCCTGCTCTCTGTCTCTCAAAAATAATAAACATTAAAAAAAATGCCCATCCCTTAATTTTACAACCAAATTGACAAAAAAAAAAAAAAAATCAGACAGGTGTGTAGGTCTGATTTGGGGTTCAAGTACATTTTTTTCCAGCAGAAAAGGGGCTATAAAATTGTATGCATCCCTTGAAGTGTATCCCTCAAAAGTTGTACAAATTGGCCTTTTCTGGATAAGGTCAAGTATTCTCATTTCCACCTGTCTCCCATCGAATGGGCAGAGAGAGACAGGGCTTGGTGGCCCAGGTCTCTCTTGTTCCAGAGTACAGTACGATGATTTATGATTTCTGAGCCTGAGAACTTCAGAAGCTGCTGAACATAAAAAGAGTGAAAAAATCTCCTAAGTCAAGAGGAAGAAAGGAAGAACGTGGTAGCACAGTGCTCTTCTCAGACCCTGAAACACTACTCTGAAAGCTGTCACGAGTACGCATCACACTGGCCCTTGCAGACAAAAAGGGTTATTTTATCCAGATTATTCCCCCACATTGCAGGGGAAAAGGGACTCATTTGTAATCATCAAAAGAATGCTGACAGACTTGAAATGGGATTACATTCTATTATACTCATCCGAATTAAAGATTTGTTTTGGAGATCATTCTTAGGTTTCCTCCTCCCTGTTCCTCCGACCCCAAATGAGGCGATTTGTATTCACGAGACATCTGAGGCAGACATGAAATCAGACAGTTTGCAAACATACATTTCAGATTCAGTGGCCTGAGTTTTGAATTTTAATGTTGCCTGGTTCTCTGTGTGTGGAAAACTTGGCTCTCGGGTCAAAACGAACCCCAAGCATCACTTCGTTCCCTAGCTTATTAATGCAAGAGAAATTTCATTTCAGGGGCCTGAGTGAGCAAGTGACACAGGTGTCCAGAATGAAGGTATGAAAATGTAAAATCTCTGCAGGGCAGAGATTTCTGGGAGGTCTGTGAGCACGCTACTAAACCCTCAATTCCACGCTCTGTGGTACCATTCGGAGAATGCGACCTGCCCAATCGAGTACTGACCCCTCAAGTCTCTTTGTGTCTGTGTGTCCATGAATCGACTGAGAAGGAAGTTTCCCCAGGACAGGACTGGCTCTTTAGGGCAGCCCTGTATCATACCACACACAGCATCTGGTACCTGAAAGAACTGAACATTTCCCGTTCTTTCATACAGAACACCCATTGTGTAGTCACCGTAGAACTGCTGGCCACCTGGGGAGCAGGCGTGGGTACCTCAGGCTGGAAGTCATAAGGCAGTCAAAAGGACAAGATAGCTTCAAGAAACCTCCTGCAGGCAAGGAGACGGTAGTCTCTAAGAAGGAGGACAGAGCAAGAAATGTAGGCAAAGTGCCATTCTTTGTACCATTACTTTGCTCACCATTTCTTTTCTTTATAACTCGGTCCTTCCTTCTAGACTCAGTGTCCTTCTCCATGAAGGATATCCTTTAGTAGTCCTTTCAGTCAGCATTTATCGGTGGTGAGCATGTCTTTATTTCACACGCTGTCTAGAAGATAGTTTAGCTGGGTATACAGTTCTGCTCTGACAGGTTGTTCTGTTTTGTTCCATCTTTCCAGAACCTGGAAAAATATTTCACTGGCTTCTGGCTTTCACTGTTGTGGTGGCAAAGACTTTATAGAAGACATTTTTTCCTCTCTTTTTTTAAAGACTGTCACTTTGGTTTTAGTATTTTATGCTTAAATACAATAGGTATAAATTTATTTTTATTTATCTTCCTTGGGATACATGATTCTGAATTTTTCATTAAATCTTGAAAATGGATTCCAAGATAGTATCACTTCGAGCATTACCACTCCCTCATTTTCCATATTCTCTCTTTTCGGAATACAGATCCGATGTATGTTAAACCTTCATTCCATCCTCCATATCTTACAAACTTTGTGCCATATTTTCCATGCCTTTACCTTTTTTGCTGCATTCTAGATAATTTCTCCAGCTTTATGTTCCAGTTCATTGATTCTCTTCAGCTGTATATGAGTGATCTATTAAGCTTTAATTTCAATGAATATATTTTTCATTAGTATAGTAGTATTAGTATAGTTAGCAGATATATTTTGCTCGTTTTCAAATCTTTATCGCCTTTCATTCCTTAGTCACATTTTAGCTTTGCTCTTTTATTTGCTTTTCTGTTTTCAGTTTTCCTCTGTTATTAAGAACTCTGTTGTTTTTACCACTGGCTGTTGCTCATATAATGTAGTTTGGACTGTGTGTTCATAACCAGGATTTCATCAGTAGGGGTCTTATAGAGTCTGTGATGATGTCTCTATGTAGGGAGCATTTGTGTGTGTGTGTGCGTGTGTGTGTGTGTGTGTGTGTTGCCAACTATCTTGGGGCACAATCAGTTTTGGACAATTTTGCTAGGGTCTCTTTCTCTGCTCCTCCCCCCACTCTCTCTCATGCTCTCTCTCTCTTCCTCAAAATATATAAATAAATTAAAAAAAAAAAAAAAGAATGTATCTGACCAGTTTTAAAAAAATCAACATACAGTTTTTAGAAGAGTGTCTGTCCGGGGCACCTCATTAAAATAGTGACTGAGTATCATAACACTTCAGAGAGCCCTCACCTCTACCTTCTCGGTTCATTACTTAGCTTGAATGACAAGAGTATGGACTTTTGAAACTAGACAGTTATTGGGTTCAAATCCTGTGTCTACACTTAACCAGCAGGTGTAGAGCCAAGGTAGGCGGCAAGATTGGGGGCAGAGGCAGGTAACTGGGGAGTAGGTGTTCATTCCACATGCATCACCCCCAAAGTGGCGCCTTTGCAAGCATTTTAAAGATGTTGACCGGGTGGCTGAGACCGGTGACCTCCAAATCTTTAAAATCACGAACGTCAGGGGCGCCTGGGTGGCTCTGTCGGTTAAGCGTCTGACTCTTGGTTTCGGCTCGGGTCACGCAGTTGGTGAGTTCGAGCCCCACGCTGGGCTCCACACTGACAGCACGGAGCCTGCTCAGGATTCACTCTCTTCTCTCTCTCTCTCTCTCTCTCTCTCTCTCTTTCTCTGCCCCTCCCCTGCTCTCTCGCTCGCTCGCTCTCAAAATAAATAAACCTTTTAAGGTTGAAACCTTTCTTTTTAAGGTTCTTTTTAAGGTTGAAACCTTAAAGAAACCGATATGAAAAGAAGTTCTAACGTTTTCCTCCTACATCTGTTGGATCGCCTCGTGTGCGCACCCAGTTTGGATGGCCGGGGTCAGAAAGATGCTGAAGGAAGGAACGGAGAAAGGGCGGTGTATTCAGCAGGCACCTGGCATAGTGGTGGTGGCTCCGTGAGCTGGTTAGGCCGATGGTGGCCTGTTTCTTCTCTAGCCTTGCCTCCCCCACCACCCTCCCATCACCCACACGGGCCA